GCAGACAACAAATACAAGCTATTCGTATAATCTATAGACAAGTGAAATATTCATATTGAAACTTTTCTTTTAATTACTAATCCTATTTTTGTACTCGTATAACAACAATATAAAATTATATTAGGAACAACAAATAGAATCCTGGATATAACACTACAAATTGCAAAAAATGGTATGTCGTTTATACAAGCGTTTTTCGCTTCAAAAAGACTAGAGAAATAGAAAATTTAAAATCAAATTGTTTTTTTATTGAAGGGCGACGATATCAGTGTAGAAGAGATGGCAAATGACAGGACTCCTTGAGATAGTTTTTTTTTCATAAGGTATACATCATCCATTCAGATGTAATAATCTATTGTAGATATGTATTAAATCATTTTTGATTGTCATGTTATCCGTTATGTGCCACTAGGCAAATTTCTTTCTAAGTTAGCCTTATTTTCCTAGGTAAATAATCGTGAGAAGACATGCGATTTTGTTTTCATAGCCTTTCAGGTTATTTTTTTGCCTGATCAAAGAGATTCAACACCATGTCACGGTGAAAGCCATGTAGTAAATGGTAGAGTTGACAATGTTTGTATGGTTCCTGTTGTCTGTATGAACGTTATACCTATGTTCATTGCTCTATCAGTCTGATTATCTTGAATTCTCAGTCATTATTTTACCTATTCTCCCTGTCAAGCTTTATCTCTACACAAAAGAAAGAGCTGATGTCAAATTTAGCCCAGTCGTGTGCGAGTGACACCGAATTTTCTCAGAATACTTTAGAGACAAATAAAAAGATTTTTCCATCTTTGATATTTGTCAAATACTCGACGCTTAGATCAGCATTAGTAAATTGTTATAATATAAGGACAAAATTTCGAAGTAGTGTGAAAGAAATTCGAAAATCTACATTGACCTCGTCGATATTGGTGTCGAGTCAGACTACAAGAAAATTTTCCGCAATTGTAATAATTCGTCATTCAAAGGCCGATGACTAAGTTGCAGTAACAGTGGCAGTAGTTGTACGATGGCTTGCTTTGATGCCTTCTATGTATTCTTGATATTGTCTTTGACAATGCTGGTGCTGATGGCTGTGAAAATATCTTCTTGTTCGTGCTGTGAACAGTTTTGAACTTCGAATATCGCAATAATTAATGAATCAATATTATTCAATAACTGACAAGAGTACGGGGTGTGGATGATAAGTATAGTCACATCGCTCCCATACTCCCATCTAGACTCTAATTGTACTGATATACACATGATTGGACAACGATACTCACTATCTAGAGGTTGAGCATTCAATAAAATTAATGATGAATCATCCAGATCAAAGATATACAACAGAAAACCACCGGATTCGTTGAGTTTAAAGTGAATTCCGGGAGAAGAATTCTCAAGTCTGTTCCAGCTTGTTTTTTCATCAATGCCTGAATATGCAAGCGCTGTCTTCATATTGTTGCCAATATCCGACACACTTCCCGACGACCATTCTGAAGTTTTATCACAATAACAATATAAGATTCCTATCCTGCGATTTTCAATCCTATTGTAAACTTGATTGCAGCAGTTTTTTATTCAGGTTTAGAAATAGGATCCGGCAATCAGATACGATGACAAGATATGATTTGAAACTTATTCTTTTCCGTCTCATGATGGCATTGGCTTTAACTTGGTGGACAAGCGATTCGTGTAAAAAGTAGATGCTGTGATCTTAAGGTTTATTTGTCTTTCAATTTAGTAAAAAATACAACGACAAATAAACACAAAGAAAAAATCATAATTGGTTAAAACTGAATTATGATTCATTCATAACCATACGATAACAAACTTTTTCCGAAAGAATCATTATATCAAAGAACAATTACATTATGTGTTTGTAGATACTCAACGTTCAATTTCTTCATATATATACGTATATCATAGCTTGATAGGGTTTATTTCAGACATGACACAGTTTAGAGAGATTCGAATTAAGAACTTTCCTAAGTCTATCAAATATTCATACAAGATACCCATAATATCAGCAATATACTAACATTAGAACATTTTGTAGTTCATAAGTATATTGGAAACAGATGTGCATGATTAGTATACGAATCGCACTCAGTGTAAGACATCACATTCTGAAGAATCTTGATTTTAAATATTCCAAAAAAATTTACCAACAATTGCCAAGTCATTACAAGTCTCACATTAACTATCATTCTTCAGACAGCAGACTAGGTAGATTATACGTAGGCTGTAACCCGACATTTATAACCCCATGACACATTATTGTTCATCTAGTTGCAAAGCTAATAGTAGTGACAAGCATTAAAAATCGATTTAAATTCATGAAATTGTTCACTCAAGTTTGCAAACGTAATTAAACATCACACTTATTGGTAACTGTTTAAATACAGGATGTTTCAACACTATGTATACATTGCAGAAAACAAAAAAAAGTTACAGTCGAACATCGAAATTGGTCGACACACGTTTGCTCAAACTTTTGAGTATGTAATATGATAGAGTCCAGAAGGCTCTATCATTGCACATATTCAGTAGTTCAACCGAATATCTATTGATGCATTTCAGGACCCGACTGCATGATTTTTTAGTTCTTCAAAATATTTACATCTTTTTAGGATACTCTGTACCTACAGTCATAGCTATAGGTACTCCGTATACCTCTACAGGTACGTAACAGATAAAAATTTCAATCTTTTATAAATCCACTTCACACAAAGGACCTTTCAGTGATTTCTTGAACCATTTCAGAGCAGACAACCATACCACCTAAACGTTTAAATAACAGACGAAAGAACAGAATCATACTTTTAGTACAGACTCTATTACCCGCACACTGTAACTAATACAGTACTTTTTTACAGAACGCTAATGCATATACTGTTCTCTTCGATTGTCATCGTAAAAGCTGACTTCACGTACCATAAGCAATGGCAAATACTGGAACACATCAAAATTCTGCATCCGTTACTAATATTCTACATCATTCTATCGCCTCTAATCATCGCCTTTGAAGAAAACATTTCTAATACGTTTCTGCCTCCGTAAGAGAGAAGATGAGTCACACGTTTTATCACAATTGTGCATCACTTTGAAAAACATTCAAGTTATTTCTCCATCAACCATGTTGAAGAACTGTAGTTCATTAGAGATAACACCGAGGTTTAAAAAAACAAGTCTTTCAACCTCTTTTCTCAGACTACAACTTCAGATAAAATGTGTTCTTTCGCCAGAAACCTATTGTAATCCGAAAAGAGCTTTAAACATCTTTTTTTTGACACATACCTTATTTACAAAGTATTTTTTAGACTCCCAGAGCTCGCTTTTTTATAAAAGACTTTTTAAAGTTTCGTCTGAATACTTTTTATTTCTGCTATGTTTTTTAAAGAATACCATCTTGTTCCAGTAAATTTTTGCATGGATAAAGATAAATTTCCGGATTATTTTCAGTGGGCTTATCTTGTTGCTGTCCGCTTATGATATACTTCTCTTTTTATTTCAATGACGGGAAATGTTTGGAAGATTTGGTTTCAGTACAGATATTTTCTAGCCAAACTACTGTCTTTATCTTCTATGTACTTTTCCTGCCGTTTCCAGAAACCAAAATCATCGACCTGGAATGAATTAATATAATTTTCAGAGAATGTTAGTTGGTTTTTTTTTATCAAGTAAACTACAAGTGTTAAAACTTTGAATATATACAGATAGTCCAAAAAGTATTCGGACATCCATATATACCCTCGTATTCCATTATTTTTCTCGTAGAAGTCCGAGATTTTTTTTACCACAGGTAGCCCACAACTTATAGTATATGCCATATAAAAATCAGCAAATATGACCAAGGTTTTGAATTAGAACGACGTTTTGAACGAAAACATAGGACTTTTCAAAATTCCAGCCATAATGTGGGTAAGAGAGAAAATATTTTTTTTTCAAAATTAATCTAAAGCTGCACCACTAACATGCACGTCAAAGCTTGTATAAAAGTGAGTGTTATAAAAGGCTTTTATCATTAGAATTAAAATTAAATGAAGACTATTGTATTTTAATACTGATACTATATGTAATCCTCAGACCAATAGACAACTACTTTTCTAGGATAAGTTAGTATGAATTGAGATAAAATTCGATGATACAAAATACATTATTTATAAGTATATCAGAGAATAGTGAAATACTTCCTCAATTATATTCTTTGAAAATATGATCTTGTACTAACTTATCCTAGAAAAGTAGTTGTCTATTGGTCTGAGGATTACATATAGTATCAGTATTAAAATACAATAGTCTTCATTTAATTTTAATTCTAATGATAAAAGCCTTTTATAACACTCACTTTTACACAAGCTTTGATGTGCATGTTAGTGGTGCAGCTTTGGATTAATTTTGAAAAAAAAATATTTTTCTCTCTTACCCACATTATGGCTGGAATTTTGAAAAGTCCTATGTTTTCGTTCAAAACGTCGTTCTAATTCAAAGCCTTGGTCATATTTGCCGATTTTTATATGGCATATACTATAAGTTGTGGGTTACCTGTGGTAACAATATCTCGGACTTCTACGAGACAAATAATGGAATACGAGGGTATATATGGATGTCCGAATACTTTTTGGACTATCTGTATATATAGATGGCTGGAAATAGTTTATTGAAAAATTAAGATGATGACTGACACGTAATGAATGAATTTAGTTTAATCATGTACCTCTTATCTAATTTGTAGAGATTTTGCAAATTCTTTGATCAATACTTCTTTTAAACTGAATAAACAAACTCGCTAGAAAAAGATTTTCTCGCTATCTGACATACTATTGACTTCACCGATTCTTAGTACGGGAATTCAACAATGATTCAACTCAAAGAATTCAATCCTCATCTAATTTTTACTCTATTGTAAGACAACACACTTTGTGTTTCATTTTGTTGATATATTTAGTTATTAAGGCTTTTGAAATGACAAATAATGTGACAGACGACAGTGAGTCAATAGTAATTAAATAACATTAACAAATCATATTGAAAACACAAATAGTTGAATCAGTTTTGTTGTCCCAACAACCGATAATATGTATATCGCCTCGAACTCGTATTTTCTTCTTAACCACGTCTTTTTGATACTCATTTGCGTCGAGTTCAATATTATCATCACCGTTGCGAACTTTTACTATATGAGCACCGGGTACGATCATATGTATTAGTACTTGTTCATTTTGTCTCAACAGACCTTGGAATGGCTCAATCAAAATACATTGATGTTCTTCAAATGATTGATGTACTATTGGAAAAGTGATTGATTGGGCAATGTTTGATCCAGGTAATCGTATACAGATGGCTGCTCGATATGTTGTGTCCTTGTTCGTTTTGGCATAAATGGTGATTTCGTAGGGACCATCTTTAGCAGGAGGAGCGACATAACAATTGTATACATCATTTTGAACCATATCACGTTGACATAATGTATGCAATCGTCTTGAATATTTCGTGCTACCAATAACTAATTTAGCAAATAAATGAGCAGGTTCTGGTGATTTGATAGACACTTTGATCAAATGTTGATCTGGTGATTTTTTTAAAACTGCTTTTATTGACGATTGATTATGGATGCGTGAATATTGGCTCGATTCTATTCTGAACAAACTATGAAGATTATTGTTATCGATAGTACTACTGTTTTGTGATGTGTGTTGAGTTAATACATTAGTGATGGTATTATCAATTGATTGTTGAGGATTTTTCATATTATTGGTATTATTGACCGACAATAATTGTTGCTCTTTAATAGCATCAACCATTGTTTGTTTGATGAGATCCAGTGAAAGTGTCTGTTGTTGTTGTGCCACTGCATCAGTTAACGCTTGTTTCTGTTCAGCAAATAAGCGATTTAATGTCACATCATCGTCATGCTTCTTTGTAATAGAAAAATTCTCTAACTTTTGTACGAGAGTATTTTGTAACTGGTTGATAGCATCAGTTTCAATAGATGTTGATTTAAGAATTTCTTCATTTTTCAATATAATTTTTTGTATTTCTTGCTCTATTGTCTGGATTAAAGTAAGTTGAAGCTGTTCCATTGATTGTGATGTATTATGGTGTGCATCTAGAGTTTCTATTAATACCTGCTTTAAAGTATCAATTGCAGTAGTAGTAGTACTAACACATGTTTCAAATCCAATTGCCAAAGAATTTTTTTGTTCTTCTAATAGACGAATTATTTCTTCCTTATTGTTAGCTTCTTTTGTTGCTTGTAAGATCACTTCTTTTTCTTTTTTAATTGTTCGAAGTAATGTTCTCTTCTTCATATTCATTTCTTTGCGAAGTGAAGCAACAAGTAGTTGTCGTTCAGTTCTCATTGCTTTACTGAATGTTTCCTTGAGAGTTGTTTCATCAATGTCCACTCTTTTAGGTGATTCAGTACGTGCACGAAGATGAGAAGCCATAGACTTTGACTTTTGTATTGAACTTGTAGTCCAATTATTAGTTGCAGTTGTTGTTGTGTGACGAGCTGTAAGTGGACGATGTTTGGACCATGATGTATATTCAGATGCTGTTGTCGAACGTTTGAACGATGAAGATTTCAGTAACGATCGGTTTATTGACTCATGTTGATCATCCATACAATTAAAAATATAATAGGTATTTCTATACGTTGGACGCTCTTTACGAAGACCGAGAACGTGATATGTCGACGAACCGACCTTAAACGTGTGAGTAACATCGAAAAACTGACCATCTTGTGTCATGATATCACAGTTTTGGGCATGCATTTTTTAGTTTGATAAGTTTTATACAGGCAATATATTCGTTATACTAAAAATCTATTGAAAAAGAAAATATGAGAATTTTAACATTAATATTGACGGATTAAACGATAGAATTTTGATGCTTTTTTTTACTATTAACACCAATAAGAGAACATTCTCATGCGTCCGTTTACTTTTTCAGTGAGAGCATAGTAAATATTGTAGACTACAGTAAACTATGTCTACCATAAAAAGGATTCATGCACATGGTTGTCTTTTGAAAAAATCAAACATTTTTAGTGAATTTTAGCTTCAAGAGCCTAAATTTGTAGCAAGACCATATTTTCGAATTTCGTTCTGAAATTTGTCCCACATAAAGAAGTCATTTAGACTGGCTTGGATAAAAAATCGCACAATTCTCAGAGTAAGTGTCATCGAGATACGGAATTTTTAAGGTATGCACTGGTGTATATAGATAGTATATGCAGCAGGTGTTTTTTTTTTTGAAAGCTTCATGTTTTGGAGAGACTTAGTTCAAGAATTCTAAAGTTTTTTTATGCAAGCAAGCCCAACTGACGACTTCATATGCCCGAATATTTAGATTTAAATTAACAAAATATGTTCGTCTCTATGGAAACAAGCTATAGGCAGAAGCTCTTTTTTATAGTTGACATAGACTAATACAGGTCTACAACATACACTAAGTCCTGACTAAAAAGTAAAGGAATATCTGAGAATGCTACCTCGTACGCTATTTCTATATCAAGGGAAATTGAGTTCCAAGAAATACGAATGACATTCTCTTTTTCTTTTCTGAATGAAAAGTTACAAACTTTTATAGAAGTTAACTACTAAATTGAATAATATCACTGTTCCTTACTACTATAGACGATTCAGCAGATGAAGAAAGGAGAAGATTAGAAAGGAGACTGAAGAAAAAAAAGAGATATGACACCATCAAGAAATCCTTTTGTTCCTATTTTCATTGAGCAACAAATATAAAGAAAAATTTTATTCGCTACATCAATTTGTCTGAAAACAAAATAAGAGACAAATAATGCTTCCTAGCAGCATTGAAAGTGACACTTGAAGATAACTATTGAAAGAATTCAAAAAAATTAAAAGACTTGAATAATTTATTTCCGAAAATTTTTACGCAGTAAATAACAACGTGGGCTGGGGATTGTAATCTCAGAAACGGTTTCATTCTGAATCTGATGATAAAGACTTAAAAGTAAAACTTTCCATTAAGAAGGTTTCAAATTAAATTTAATAACGTTCATACTTATATCCGATCATGTAATGAACACCACAGTGATTCAATTTAAGAATTCCTTCCTGATGACACTCTTATACAAAATCCCGGTAAGATGCGTTATGCTTTACAATATTTATTGACGTGTGTACTCATTTTAATTGATGCGTGTACTTTGATATATACTATGCAACATGTTTTGGGTGTTTTACTGATTGCATCTATGTCATATGAGTTAGCATGCAATGGATTAATGCAATGTTTGAACTATTTTTCTATAACAATGGAACCGTATCAATTCATAATATAAATTATTGTGAAGATAACCATTTCTACAAGATTTTCAGAAAAATAATTTTCAAATTTTATCTTACAAACCACTAATGTCGGCGCCAGAAATAGATGGAGAAAACTCTAGAACGAATATCTCGAGAATAGTAGCAACTAGAGACCTGCGACTTTCATCATTGGAAAGAGCGATGTCGGGGGATCGATTGACATAAAATTGGTTAGGTTCGGAGAGTTCATTCATGAATAATTTTGGCTTGGCATTTTGTTCGCTGCCTTTTTTCATCAGTTTTCAGAGGAATTTTAACCCAAATTATATCGAAATGTTCCCCCACCCACACACGGTGTTCAAGCTAAAAATTTCACAATTTTTTATTATCTTTTCAACGTTTTTCTTCGATGAAGCTTCTAAAGAACATGATAATTTTTATAGGAATATATAGTGTCTCTGTCTAGATTTTGGCTTAATTTGGGTTGAAATTCCTCTGAAAAATGATGAAAAAAGGCAGCGAACAAAATGCCAATCCAAAATTATTCATGAAAGAACTCTCCGAACCTAATGAATTTTATGTCGATCGATGCCCCCGACATCGCTCTTTCCAACGGTGAAAATCACAGGTCCCTAATTGCTACTGTTCTCGAGATATTCGTTCTAGAGTTTTCTCCATCTATTTCTGGCACCGACATTAGTTCAAGGTCACTTTATTTTTCAGATATAGCTCATAGATTTTGCTTATCAAAAATTTCTCTACTTATAATAAATAAATTTGTTTAAGAATCTTTAAGATTCGTCATTTGTATAAATAAATTAATATTTTCTATATTTTAATTTTAAATATTAAAAATATCTTTAAGTTACTTGCAAAAAGATGGAAAAAAAAGCGCTTGCTTTCAGATAGATAGTAAGAGATAAGGTTAACAACTAGAAAACTATTCGCCATTAATAGAGCCTTTTACGATTTCTTTTGATGTTTCTTAAAGACGCTAACATATTTGTTTTTCTTTGAATTAAACTGAACTAATGAATTAAAGAATATAATAGATAGATGTGAACAAACTTAGAAAATTCAAATAACTAAAATACAGATAAATTAAAACGATTGTATTCTGCATTATCAAAAACTAGAAAACAAAAGCATTAGAATACAAAGACAATGTGAAAAAGAAAAAGAAAAAGAAAAAAGAAAATAATTTTGAAAAAAAGGAATAAAATGAGAAACACGGTTACTATAAAAAAAAAAGAGAAAAGCGAACAAGTAACCAGGAAATATGCTAACGTATGGTAATAAATATTTGTTTGTTTAAAAACGGCCACTTGTTGAAAACTCTCAACGGTGTCGCAATGAAGAGGAAGTATAGCGTTGAGCAACAAATATGTTTTTTCAGTAACTAACAAAATTATTATCAAGCATAAAAATGATGGCAGTTGCAAAGAAAAATGTCGATGACGATCTATTCGTGAATTTTTTTTAAAGAGAAAAGGAGGAAAAGAAAAATGAAGACGATAGAAATCTTACATTAGCAGAAAGCAAAGTAAAAGAAACAAATACACTGAACACTGTCGAATGGTTTGATGAAAAAGAAGATTACTGTAATAAGATTAGAAAATAAAAATAGATTGCGTGATGTGATTAGTTCATGAGTTAAAATTTATCTTATAAATGTTTTATATATATTGATACAATATTTCAAGTGTCTTATTATTCAGCATCAATTATAGACGATTTCAGATTCATGATATTCAATCTTTTTATATTTTTTTTGCTAAATAGTATTGATTGAATGATGATCATTATTTTTACATAACTTTATTATTGTTTTTTTGCTAGAAAAATTTTATACCTCTTGTTTAGATAAGAAGCAATTAAATTTTTCACTGACTTTTATCTCAAGATAAATCAACGATTACATTTTACAGAAACCGTTATATGATGTAAGAGTATGATTTTATTTAAATCAAATATTAGTCTAAGTATCGTATTATTCATACCTAGTGAAAATACAACTATTAGAAATAAATATTTGATTAAAGCAAAAGCAACTACAAAAGCATTTATTATGATGGATTTATAATAGTTTCTCTTATATTTGCATCCGATATTGGATTCAGTGAATATTATTATGTTATTTTAGTCTGTTGGGAAATTTATTTTGTGAGTCATAGTTATAAAATACCTGTTTCGAAATCCTTCCCAGATTTGTAATGTACATATCATATACATGTGTACATCTAATAAATAATTATTTCTTTAGAGAAATTATGAGAATGATCTGTTTAATCGAATACTTATATTTTGTTAGGTGAAAATGCACATGCTATGCATTTGATTTTAGTATTATGACACTGAAATTTTCAATTATTAATTTACATGTAACTAATTTGAATAATGATCTGCTCCATAAGTATTCGAAAAGATACATCAAAATTGATTATTTTTTGACATTATTTTTGGATTGATCAGAGTACAAATAAACTATGCCAACGACCTATAATTGCAAAAATATCTCACAATTAAAATTATAGAACATCACAGTTCTATGTCAAATAAATGAATTGAGTCCGTGTAATGTGCTTTGATTCTAAGTTATATAAATTATCTATTAGAAATTAATCATCCAACAAATGTAACATTTGACAACTAATCTAATGTTTTATCGATAAGATATACTTTGCAGAAAGGAACGGCTTCTCATTGATCTGAAACGAGCCCTTACGATGCAATATTATATCGATTTAATATGACATTTACATTACTAATGGCATTTGTTCGATTTCCAATACGATATAATGGCTTATATATCCTGCTTACAAATAATTATTGTTTAATAAACATAAAATTTCTTATTTACAAGATTTCTTATTTAACAAAAAAAATTGTTTTCCAGTATAATCTTAACGAAGAATATCAGTTCTATATTTTTTTTATCTCAATCTAATTTACATTCATGAAGATCAAGTAAAATAACAATAGAAAGATATCCAAGATGTTTGTCTTTATCATTTATAGTAACATGATACGTTTTATTTGATTTTGAAAATGTGTCAATAACTTGAAACAATGTTTGTGGGCATTGAAATGTTGAATATTGATCTAATTTCGATGGATTATTTTGTTCAAGAGAATCTATAATAGCTAAACGTCGATTTTTTAAATCAGAACTTCGTACTTTATATAATTTTCTTCCAATAACAATTGTATAAAGACAATTATTACGACTACAGAATTCATAAGATAATTGACCAAAAAGAGTTTTTTCATTCGATTCATTATTTACTATGTATATTAAATAATTTCGAGGAATACTTGAATCTGGCTCTATAACACAAAATTCATCATCAACATGTCTTGATAACGGACTTGATAATATAACACTAGACAAACAACGAATACTGTATGTAGAAAAAAAAGAAAACAAATAAAAATGAAATTGATTATTACTTGTATTGTCCTTTATGGTCTTTAGAAGGAGTAGCTTTTACTGTACATACTGTTTTTGTACCACCAACAATTTCAAATTTTTCTTTTCTCAATGAAAATTGCCGTATAATCGTGTATTTCATTTGTTTCTAATCGTGTAAATATATGTCTAAATAGCAGATGCAATATACAGAATTTAATGATGTTTGTGCTTCTTGATGGTCTATTTATTGAATCTATAATTGTATTTTGTTTCGTTCTGTGTGTGACCTTCTATTTACAAGATATTTTGATTATGACAGTCAATGATGCGGGCAAGAGACTTATATTGTTCTTTGCTGATGTTAAGACACGACAAATATTACAGATGGAAGTAACGTTCTTTTTTTTCTTATTTTTTTTTCATTCGTTACTATTACATTCTGTATTCTTCTTCGACATTTTTTCTCGTTTCTTTTTTTCCTCGTCATTTGAGGAAAACAGTGGCACTTGTCTAGTGAACTGCAAAAAAATATAATAATGTTCCCTTCATATACAAAGAGAGAGAAGGAACGAAAGCGATTGATTTTAGTAAAGATTCTTGTTTACATTGTTTGAATAGTAGCAAAGCAAATGTTGACATTTCCACTAGAGCTTCCCATACTCATCACTATTAACAAGTAGAAATCAAAAAGACAAACTTTCGATTTATATTAACTTGACTACTACACAAATAAGTATAATGCCATTTTTGATATCAATACAATATGTTTTCGAAATTGATAATTCAACAGATGTTCTATTTTTATTATGTAAATATATATGTAAATATATATATGTAGATAGAAACGACAAATATCTTTTTAAAGGTAAATTAAAAAGAAAAAAAAACACGTAAAAGTGAGAAAGAAATAGCAAAAGCAGCCAACAAAGAAAAATGAGAACCGTGATGAAGAAGTGATGTAGTAATCGATGTTAAATATTCTTCTTACACAGCGAATGAAAAATAAAACTATGACGTAAAGAATAAAAAAAAAATTATATAAGTAATGAGAAGAAATATTATACGAATGCCAAATAAATCTTGCCAAGCAATTTTAATATCGATCCTACAAAAACAAAACAATATGAAATAGTCTCTTCTAAATAAGTCATTGATACATAGTGAAACTCTATAACTGATTAATAACCTCATACCATAAACATTCACATTTAGTTTAATAGCTGTTCTTACCGATTTCGTTATAAGTAGAATATTATTTTTTCTGTAAAAAAAATATATGAAGTTTTTATAATGAAATTCAATGAGAAAAAAAATGTATGATTTAGTTTTTTGTTTTTTATTCGTACCTGAATGCTTGACATAACGTTACTAGCTAATGATGATAATTTATTAGCTGCTTTTGATACACCTTCCTTAAAATCAGCTGTCATGGCTGATAAATCAGGACCTTGATAAGTTGAACGATCTTGTTTTCTTTTGTTTGGATCATCAAAAAAATCTTCACTTGAAATACTTGTACTTCCTTGAAAACGTGATACTACATTGTTTTGATTCTACAAGAAATCAAATCAAAAAGAGAAAAATGATTTTTGTTTTTAGCACCAAATTTTCATTGATAAAAATGAATGATTTTATTATTATTATTTTTATATACGATCAAATTCAAATTTAAAAACTACAGGCGCAAGCATTTGCAATAGAAGTTTGATTTAGATTAGCACGTGCATATTATCAGAAAGTGTCGATTAGTAAGGAAAAGATCAAAAACAAAACAAATGCTTGACTTTATTTTGTTGTTGTTCATATCGAAATACATGCAGCGAAAAAATATAATGAAAATTGGTATGAATTTTTTGTTGATTTAATTAATACATGTACGACGATCACATACGTACATCGGAATTTTTATTAAAAAATTGATCACTTGATATAGCTTTAGCATTTGAAAAACGTTTTTGTGTTTCGCTATTATTTCCTTCATTATAAGATGTAGATGATTGATTTTTTGATTTTGATGAGGAACTAATAAAAAAAACAATAATGAATCGAATATAATATTTTATTCATGATTTTTGTATACTTAGGTGCATCATTATTAGAATATGATGAACTACTAGTTCCACTGAATCCAAAATCTTTAGTTGGAGTGTGTCGATCAACGATTTCCCAATCAGTATTGAAAGTATCCGTATTTTTTGATGATGATTTTGGTTTAAATAAATCATCATCCAGTCTATGTAAAACAAAAAAAAGCACAATGAAAACTTGATAGATTGAAATAGTTGTCTTGTTTTTCTTTTCCAATAAATTTTTCTTTATGATAACTTTTATGTTAATTTAAATTAGTCTATCACCTAATGGAACAATTAACAGTTAAAATCATTAGCAGTTGTTCTCATTTATTTCGAGCATGGATAGAAATAATCTTCAATGACTCGAGTATTAACAATATGAAAAAAGAATTATGTAATGTTTGTTTTTCGAAGTAGAAGGTACTAAAAATTTGACAAATAGTTAGGGCCAACATATTTAGCAGAAAATGACCAAGAAAATCTGCTTTCTAAAACTTCCTAGACTGTTTTTCAACAACAGTTCAAAATTTTTGGAAACATGATGCAAAAAGTGACTGAGGAGGTAAGGATTAGTTTACCTCAGCCTCTTCCACATACAGACCTATGTATTCAAGTTCGAATATAATACAAATATTCGAATCTAAATGAATTTGCATCATTTTATTCTTAGTTAAAACTATGTTTCAAATAAATTTAGTTATAATTAAGTAGAAGAATAAGTTAAATAAGCATTATATCTATTAAAACAAATCCTTCGCTTGTTTTTTTTAAACTCGAATAATTAAACTATTAGAAGAGTACATGCATAATTATTATTAATTTTATGAGTACTTTTCAGAACTCTCATCATATTGATCATCAGTTTTCGATGAGAAATCATCATAGCTAAATTATAAATTAAATTATAAATTGATTAATAACTTCAAATACATACTTTGATCGACTACTAAAACCCGATGATTCATAATCATCGAAAAAATCTCGATTTCGTGGTGCAAGTGAAACATTTCTTGTTGTTGTTACACCTTCTTGTTGAATTGTTTGCATATCAGTCATAGCACTATGACTTACGCCACTAAATCAATAAAATTCAAGAATCTAACTATTGTTTTAATTAGAAATGACGGTTGGCCCATATTATGATGAAACAGTTTGATTTTCCGTTTTTGAACAACCCAAATCTCTTCAAAGGCATCATTCTAAGCTACTTCAGTAGAGAATTTTTTGATTCACAAAAATGTGGATTTCGTTTATTTTTAAAAGGCTTTTCTTGTTGAACAAATATTGGAAAGATTGATGGGATCTTTACTACTCAACTGTGATCTCCTGCGAACATCTAACAATTTGTGCGAGCTTGTGCTGATCAAGTTCGATGTTAAATGTAAAGTATTTAACATCAATAGATAGAGGATTTTATATTCTATATTCTCAAAATCTTTTCAAAGCTCATAATGATGTCGTTTGAGTGCACAAAGCTTGAAATTGGCACCTGATCGTATTTTGTTTTGAATGTATTTTCGAAACTCGTGTTTTCAAAAGTTAGTATGTTCTATAAATGGTTTATTATGACATCATTAAATGATAAAGTTAATTCCGACCAAAATAAAGTAATATTTAATTTGAACAACAAAACTTTTTATATCGTCCCCTAGTGGTATAGAGTTGCTAGGAACAGGCTTTCATGTCGCTTTCTAATTTTTGTTCGAGAGACTGTTCTTTCAATTGATTTTTTCTAAAATGATGAAACATTGTGAGATGCAGCATATTTCGAATTTCGACGGAACTACCATTTATACATATTTTTTAATAATTGTTTCGTAATCTGATGGTCACTATTCAATGGTTGAGCGATCACCAAACTTCTTGGTTTTTCTGCAACACGAGAAACTTATTTGAAGAACAATGTCAATACTTTTATATAGCAAAAAAATTCTCTATTAAAGAAACTCAGAACAGTATTTTTAAAGTGTGTTGCTGTCTTAAAGAAAAAGAAAATCAAAGTGTCCCATTGTTTATGAGACACCTATTATATTCTACCTTCGATTAGTAAAACCCATGCCAAGACGTTCCATTTGTTCAGCTTTCTTTGGATTTGATTGTTTTAATTTGGCCTCTTCAAAATCACGTTGTTTATTCATATCTTGATAAACAAATTTAAGATTTGCCCTAAAATATAAAATTATTAAACTATTTTATTATGAATATTTTTTTACATTTGTTTTTCGACTTGTTTTTCAGTTTCTTCACGATTTTTAAGCTCAAGATGAGCTTGTTGTTCACGTAATTTTTCTTGTTCTTGAACATTGCGTTCTACTTCTTTGAAGTCAGTTGCTACTTTTTGTGCACCAAAACCTTTCTATTAAGAAACTAATACAGTCGAAATAGACATCATAGATAAATGAATAAACTTTTTTCGTTGCTGGTGCTCGGCGTTGACCAATAGTTGTTTTTTTTGGATCGAGTGTTTTCACTGAACCATCATTATTCAAAACACTGGGATCAACAGATGGTCCTTCGGTTTGTTGTTCAGCTAACAACAAAAATAAACGATAGAAATTGAAGAACAAGTAAATGGAGATAACTTACTCTTATCAAGACTTTGATTACTGGAATGTGAAGAAACTGTTACACTATCATCCCAACCAGTTTTAGCTGATGCTTGAGAATGCTCATGGAAGAAATCACCTTCTTTTTTTTCACCTGTCAATTGACTATGTTCATTCTTATGTGCATCATCAAGGAAAAGCTAAACAAATATATAATAAGTGTCATTGAAATTTTTTTCTTCTTTTTTAATATTTGATTACTTTAGTTCCATATTGCTTCATTGTTTTAGTAGCAAGTTGATGAAGTTTTTCACGATAAAGTTGTGCAGCTCGACTATTATATTTTTGTTGAATATCTTTTGTGTGACAGCCATGTTGTTGGAAAAATGCTTCCTAAAGAAAACATCAAATGTAGAAATTTCATTGATTATCAAAAAATAATTTACTAACAGCATTAGCATTTCCACCAACTTGCATAGCTCTTAATGTCAAAGAAAAATAATAACAGAAATTTAAAACATAAATATAACATACCGAAGTTGAAGCCATCCCCAACTAGTATCAAGATTAGTCGAACGAATAAATGATAAGTGAACACCGAGACCACGATGTCTGGCTGAACAATCAATACATAAAAATACACCATATGTAATTGATGCCCAGGTGGGATTTTTTGAATCACAATCAAAACACATCTATATACACATAATATATATATATATATAATATATATCAAAAGATTATTGACAAACCTTATTAGCAGGGATTGTTCTTAATCGTTTAAAAATGGCATCAATGTCCGACTTGGTAGGCTCTTCCATTATTCTAAGGAATTAATAATGAATATTGTTTTTGTGTTATTATAAAAGGAACAAATCTAGAAATGAAAAACCAAGTAACCTTGATTACTCTTTAATATATTTATTTGAAACTAAAAGCAAATAAATGATCTGAGTAATGAATGTCAATGGTCGACGCATTATATTATTCGTTAATTGTATTCTGAAAATGTACCAATTAATTCGAAGATGATACATACACATCAATATCTATAAAATAAAGTTAAAATCTAGAAAAATAAACTTATTCTTTTCATTTAAAATTATATTTGAATTAAATTTATCAAAAACAAATATTACGACATCTATTAAATAATGTTATTCGTTATTAAATTATCCTGTTAAGAATCAATGCAGAACGAAAGAGAAAGCTTTAAGCAGCCACTGTTGTGGGAAAGAGTTCTGAGTCACAATTTCATACAATTGCGCAATATTTACTATTACCATGGCTGTTGCAATTATGACAGCTGACTCATTTAAGCTATTATATATTATTTGACAGCATCAGTCACTAAACATTTCACACTGTCATGTCTGTGAAGGATACATGTTTGTCGCTATTCAAACTTTACTAATGCTTTTTTTTTATTTATTCTTTTTAGCATTTCATATTTTATTCACAATTATCACTAAAGCTTCGACAAAATTTAGAAGTCATGTTTACTTTTACGGGTAAACCATTGGTGTCTACTACTGCAGCTCCTACTGGATTTACGTTTTCTTCGACTGGATCAAGTTCGTCAAGTACATCGGGCACTTCATCTGTATCTCAGCCTTTTATATTTGGTGCTGGTGTGCAAAATACACCAACTATTGCCGCATCAAATACACCAATTTCTGGTGCAGTTGGCTCTTCACCGATATCAGCTACTTCTGCCAATTTTACACCGACGAGTATTAAAAAAGCAATATAAGAGACGATTTTATTTTAACTATTGTATTTTTAGATTTTGGTGGTACACCTGTCTTTGGCACAAACCAAGCACAACCAGCGACACAACCAACAAATGTCTTTCTTTCAAATCCAATCGGAACGTCATTTAATTTTAGTCCAGGATCTACACAAGGTACGTTTCGTTCTTTTATTTTTTTAAAATTGAAATCATTAATTATTATAATTCTTCATTATCAAAAAATCGTGCATACTAAAAAGAGCATAAATCTAAAACTAAATCCAAAGTTTCAATAAAATGTTCCATTATCATTTCATATAAGACGTAGTTTATATTTTTAACTTTCTTTCATAAAAAAAAGCAAACTCGTTAGTATTAAATATTTTTCTTATTTATTTAGCAACATCTTCTATTGCATCAACAACGCGAGCAATGTTCAGTACTACTAATACTACCACAACGACAACTCCGAGTCCATTTGGCATAACAACAACAAATCCCGCTCCATTTGGAGCAACGACAACTCCGAGTCCATTTGGCGCAACAACAACAAATCCCGCTCCATTTGGACCAACAACAAATCCGAGTCCATTTGGCA